AAACGTAAAGGCGAAGTCATAACCTCTTTGGAAAAGTCTGAGTACGAAGATTACAGAACCATTGCGAGGGATTGCGGCGTTGGGAAAGAACTGTCTGAGCGAGTGACAGGTGAGAATATATGAAAGACAGAGAGTGAGAGAGTGAGAAAGTAATTGTGAAATAGCAAGAGTGTGATCACGATAAAGAGAGGTGAACAAAAGAGTGGAATTATTGAGAGTGGTGAACAAGTGAAAGGCTGAAAGCATGATTGAAAGACAAGAGAGCGATTGAAGGAAGTAGAGATATGAAAGAGTGAGAATTAAAATAGTGAGCAATTGAAAGAGTGTGAGTTATTGCAAGATGAGTGAGGGAGAGCAGGAGAATGAGTTCGAAAAAGATCAGGAGTGATCGAAAGAAAGAGGGGAGATCAAAAGTGTAATCATTGGAGAAAAGACTAACTACACGAAAGTGTGAGCAATTGGAGTAGAATTGGAGAGTGAAGGGAAAGTGATTTGGAGAGTGATTGGGAGAATGATTATGGGAGAGTGGTTGGGAGAGTGGTTGGGACGGTGATTGGGGCGTGATTGGGAAGAATGTGAAAAAGAGCAGCGGTGTGAGAGATTGAAAGAGCATAAGAAAGTTATCGAAGGAGAGATGGAAATTAACATGCCATGGGCATAGAGTTTTTGGTTGTTGAGTTGTTAGGGGTGTGATTGACGACGAAAATCGATTTACACATTTTCGAAGAATCAAGCCAATCGGTATATGCAAATTCAAATCATGCTTAATAGTCGGTATCAATTCGCATTTACATTTCTGCAAACTACATTAGTCTCACTGTTAACCGTCCTCGTTATACCGTTTCTTAAATAAATAAAGTTACTAACAACTAATAATGGATCCGAAATGCGAATCGAAAAGCGTACGTCAATTTTCCATAAATGTAAATTTAGTACACTTTTGTGCTACGAAATGATTGGATGAAAAGTATCAATTAAATGATTGGATGAAAAGTATCAATTAAATGATTGGATGAAAAGTATCAATTAATACCCTGTTGGGAATTAAATGTATCATTTAACTTACCATAAACGAAATTCCGCATTTTTCAGAATCTGTACATTAAATAATTGTATTTAATACAGAAAATCTGTATTAAAATACAGACTTTTGACGACTCTGGCGTACCATATTAGACTGCTAATTATGACCCAAATGCAGGTCATCAAATGCGAATGGTATTTTTGAAACTTGTCTATTGGACGGTAAAAACTGTATTAGTGATAATTGTGGTGCTCAATGCAACTCTTAATTTGTGCTATTAATGTTAATCAGTTTAGTGGAGCTCTCCAAATTCGAAATACTACACCAGCTGATGGAAATCCACCTGCCATACCACTAGTTCCACTCCACACTGTATGGAATGAAGACTGGCTAACATCTCCAATTTCGGTTCAATCAAATTTAAAATCACCAGTCAGGACTATTTGAGAGCGAGAAGTTTCTACAATTAAGCCAAATGAGTCTGGTAATGAATCCCTTATGACCCAAATATTTTTATTGGTCAAGTACAAGCATTAAGTTATTTTAGACATGCATATCCCACAGTACAACTGAAAAATCACAATTAGTATTTACTACTCTTGTTCAAGGCTCTGACGTTTCTATGCAAAGTTAAAAAGAATGGTTAAACTTGCTTACCCAGCACTTCCAGCACTAAATCAGGAAGAAATGATTAGACAACAATTCTTCCAAGGCCTTTCTCCTGACAATAAAATAGAAGACAGAAGTCTCAGCAAATGTTGGTTTGAATAGAGATGAAACTGAAACGGAAAGCTTTGTAAAGTCATAGCTTCTACACAATCTACCTCCTCTAAGCCTCAGGAAGAACTGTCTAATCAAATCACACTTTCATAAGATGATTTCAAAAAAATTATAAAGGAACTATTTCTAGACCTGGTCCTGGAAAACAAAAAGCAGAAGATTATTATGACCACGATCCAATTGAAGATTTGAGATTACAATTTGAGCAGTTAGGAATCAACCAGGCAAAAATAGCTCGAGAAATACATGCTGTTTCAAAATCATTTCAACACAGATCGAAGCAAATCCAAAAAGAGTGGTAAGTTAAATAAGGTTACTGTAATAATAATGAATCTGGCCCTGGTTCTGATTCTAGATCAGGATCTGATTCTGGATTATACTAGAGAAACAATCTGATTTTATGGATTATCGAGATCAAGAAACTTTAGATGACCCTATGTAAATAGTCTTTGTTAACCAACAACAAATATTACAACTATACCAGTTAAAATCAAACGCTTAAAAATTCCAGCATTGGTGGTGCTCGATAGTGGTGCTGAGCTTCCAAAATAACATCTCAAACGTGTAGATTGGGCAATTGATAAGTCAGAAAGTATGATGATCTCAGTGGTGTTGCCACCATTTTCCAATAAATATAAATGTACTGTGGATTGGGGTAATAAAGTCAAAAATAAGCTCGAAGATTCTGTCAATCCGACTTTAAAAAAACGCATGAGCTATGGAACTCGCCATATGATATACTTGATCATGTTCGATTAAAGTATACAAAGAAAGGTCCTACAATTTTGTTGGTTTATTATTGGCTGTGTCAACCCCACCGATAATTCACCGAACAGACTTAGATCTTAGAAAAAACATCTTTGTTGATTTGATGCGTTGGAAACACTAAGCTCTGCTCATTTTATCCCTTAACTTTTTATTAATATTTTTATAATATCAGAGCTATCAGCAATATTAAAAAATTTATCTAATTGTATGCAATTTGCACATAGTACACATTTTATCTAAGCGGGAGGTCCGATATCCAAAAATTACGTACTCATGATCTGGAACTTATTAATGAGGCAAACGATTGCAGATTGAAAACGCTCGCAAAGATATTGAAAGTATTGAAAGGTGAGTCAGATTTATCCGGAATCTCTCCGGAAGACGTATCTCAATCTGCGATTTGTATACAAAAAAAATTATTAGTATCGATTACCTTGTACATGTATTCTTAATGTTTCACACCCTCAAGTTTGTATAATTTCTGTTTAGTCGATGTAGACAAATCCTGATCCCAGATGGCATAATAATGTAATAAATGACAATGTTTTTATGGTCTCGAGCATGAAAACGAGCCTAATTTTAGAGAGGTGGATATTATAAAGAGGTATTAGAAAACTCTCTGCGCCCGTTTTATAAAATATGATGATGGCTTAAAAACTATATCCCATTTATGATAAAATTGCATGTGACTGCCCGAGGTTGCCGATACTAAGTACATTGTATCACAATAACAAATTTTGATCTATTACATATATATATGGTCATAAATAACTTTCGATAGACTTAAGTAATAAATGAATTAATTGTAAGCATTAATTTCAATTATTTATTATATATTCCTATTGGCTAATTTCCAATACTATTAATGTTAATGGCGAAACGTTATCTATATATAGACATACAGTCGATTGCCGATAATTCGACCACTTGCGGTCAGCGGTCATCGGTCGAATTAACGTAAAGGTCGAATTAACGA